TTCTGTGATTCTGTGTGATTCTGTGATGGAGAAATTTTCTTCATAGAAAGGGCACGTGGTAGTTCTGTCAATCTGAAAACAAAAATATGATTACTGAGTGGGGCCTGATTGCGGAGAAGCAGCTTTGCTCACTGCTGTACTGTACGTAGCAGTGAATTGTTGCATATAAGAGCTTGCTTTGCAGGCCCTTGCTTTGCTTTGGATGCAGTGCAGGGGGAAGAGAATAAGCACACAGTAGCAAGACAGGACACACCAAAATATTGGTGTCTTTATTTGCCTTTTTTTTAAATAGATGAAGGGTGGAGAGTTTGTCAACTCTTAAACCAAGCTATTATTTTGGGTAGCAGAAAAGCCATGAAGCAGCACCAGTGTCAGAACATCTAGTGCTCCTGTGGTTTATATCAATTTTATGGCTGTGATTTGCACAGTATTCAGAACCACTGTAAACTGTGTTTTGTTCAGAATTTATTGGCTTAATCATTCAGCGAGATCCTTGAATTTTAAAGCAGTCAAAAAGTACCTGGATGCCAGGAGTGAATGCTGTATATCCCTAAGATACAATTTGTTTTCTTACATCGGTAGCTTCTCCAGTAAATAATGTGCTCTCAGTTACCTCTAAAGAGCTTCCTTGCTTTATTAGGCCAAAAAAAGAATATATGAGCATGTCTGCTGATTATCATTCCCTCCCCCAGCTGGATGTGTATCTGTTTTCTACATTGGAAACAGGCCTTTAAGGCTGTTCTCCCAGTAGACAATAAAGACCATGACCTTGATATGTGATTGGAGAGATTTATGAGTCTTAATTGTTGACAAAAGTAAGGCTGAGTTGTTTAGATTGTTCAGAAACTGGAATCCAAACCAACAATTAAAAGGCAAATTAAATTTGGATGATCTCGAACGGTGGTTCACAGAAGAATAGGAAGGCAAGGCAACCTTGGGAAGCAGTACTGTTAATACAGAATAGCAGTAAAAACGTTTGGTAGGTACACAGCATTTGTTCTGGAAGGAGAAGCAGGATTTCACTTCTGTTTTGCTGTGATGAGGTCTCTTTTGAACAGATTTCCAGAGTGGGGTTAATGATACTATTAAGATGTAAGGAAATAGCAGAAGTATGGTTTTGTATGTGATTGTTTAAATGTCTGCAGAGGTCTTCATCTTTAGCCAAGGCATTACACTGCAATCCTGCAGTTTTAGGAGTATAACTGCCTGGATCAAGCGTCTTTACGGTAAGAGTCTATGTGGCTTTGGTAAACTTAATTGTATGAACCAGACTGCAGGAACAAAACGTTAAAGGTTTGTTCACAACACAGTTTGTGAGTTAGTTTTAAGATGTTACTTTCACAGATACTCTCTAAAAATTGCAGAATAAATGGTAAGTGTAGCAATTGCTGAGATTACTGAAAGGTGGAAGTTAGTTCCATTTCTGATGTTGACCATTACTTGTCTTCAAGTTTCTTATTGTTTATCTTTGTTTTGATATCGTTTTTTTGCCAAGTATGTTTCATATTCTCTATTTTACTTTTTCGTAGGAAGTGAATATTGAATTTGAAGCGCATTCCATCTCAGACAATGACTATAATGGGATAAAGAAACTGCTACAACAGGTACCTTGACGTCTTGGTTGATGTGTCCATTAATAAATAATATCTAAGAAGTTATACAAAGTTATCAGTTCACATTGTCTGTATTGATCCGTAGTTTTACTGTGATTTAGGTCGTAAAGTTTCAGTAATTCCAGCCACAGTGAACATGTGTCTCCTAAAACATGGTTTCAAGAACTTCACCCAATGAACTGCAGGGCTGTTCTTCCACAGTGTGCATAATCTTTCTATCTTCATTGTGTTAGTTGCTGCCCAGAAAACCTGTTCAATGTTAATCAGCTTCCTGGAGTTTGTATTTTTTTGTAAATTACAGCCCTTAACCAACAGACAAGTAATGTGTCTGTTCAATGTGGCAGTTTGCAGTTTTCTTTTGCCTGTTTCGGTTGTAAACCAATGTTCAGCAAGCATTTAGATCATACCAAACTCAAAAGGATACCAAGTGTGCAGAATGTCAGCTTGTGGAGGGTCAAGGAGCGAGCGCTTCAGGAAGCTCATTTTCAGTCTTTACAGTGTTATGTTGAACAAATTTAGAAAAGCAAACTCACTAAATGGAAATTAAAAATGGAACAAGGTGTTGCATAACAACTTAGAGAAATTACTGACTTTAGTTTCTACTAAGTGGCCCGTGATACATCATCCGGCCTAAAACTTCTTAATACTTGTTTCTTATTTTCCAGTTGTTTCTAAAAGCTCCTGTTAACACTGCTGAATTAACTGATATATTAATACAACAGAATCATATTGGAAGTATTATCAAGGTAAGACAGAATTTATGTTTGTAAATGAAGTACAATACCTTTTATGTTGAAATGACAGAACAGACTTTCAGAAGGGGATCCTGGCTTTTTAATTTGTATGCTTTCTTGCTTTTTTGCTTTGAGAACAATTTTGCTAGGGGAGCTGAAATTTTCCATGCCCACTTCCAACCAAACAAGGAATTTTATTGATTATTTTGTTTGGTTTCTTTTTGTGTATGGAAGGCGTTTCACTTTTCTCTCTGAATTTTGGTGTGGTAGAGTAATAATGCTGTAAATGCCGTGGAGAAGTTTGTTACCATCTCTGTAAGAAATAGGACCTTGTGATTTCCCTATATTCTCAGGATGTAGAGAGATACAGACCAAAAATATCCAGCATGCAGTTTGTTTTTGTGCAGAGTTCGTTGGGCATAGGAAACGATCCTGAAATGAGCCCTGAACAGGTTCTGTTACGGCAGTGGAGCATTCTGCAGAGGCTCCTGAGTTACTCCTGGCCAAGGAAGCTGTTCAGAACTGTATGGTGCTCAAGATGTCATGGCCATGCTGCTTTCAAACCCAAACAAGCTGCCGCCACAGCACAATTGTGCTGTTGTACCATGGTGCATATCATTGCTATACATTCCCTTTGTGTCCTGTGCCAACAGTTTTTCCGCTCAAGTTTAATATGATCCTTATATTACAACTGCATGACCCCCAGTTCTTTCCCCAAGTTTTTCATTGAGGAGTTTTGTTGAGCTTTTTGTTTCACTCTCTGTCAAAGCTCTATTGCTCTATGGTTTTTAAGACTTTTTTTTTTCATTAGAAACTGAAGAAAATTGGTTTTGCTTAAGATATTGCCATCCCTTGTACTGAAATGCGGCTTATTATGTGTGAGCTATCAAATTTTAGTGCCTTTCAGAAGATCTGCTGTAGAAGATCCATGATCTGGCTCTCTGTATAGCTGGCTGTAAGAACACAGACATTCAATGATGCGGCACTTTCATAACCGTAATCAGAATTTGTAGGTGGTGTGTTTGTACAGATTACCTAGATGGTTGTCATCTGCTGAGCATTTTCTGGGAGGAAAAACATTTCTTGCTACAGAGAGTGGAAATAGAATGTCAATATGAGTTGTTGCTTTTTCTTTCATTACATAGCAAGCAGAAGTCCAAGAAGACAGCAGTGACGATGATGATGATGATGAAGTCTTTGGTTTTATAAGCTGCTTAAACTTAACGGAAAGGAAGGTTGGTATTCCTCATTAATGTCTAGACAGTAGTAAGTGAGACTGCATCCTTTTCAAGCCTAGACAGCTAGATTAGGATTTTGAATTGCACCATGGAGGACTGTGGTCTTAAAAGTTGCACATCATTTAGCTTTCTTTTGGATTTAGTCCTGCGTAACTTGTTGAAGATCAAATATAAAGGAAAGACTGGAATAGAGAGTTTAAACTAGGTCTAAGGGTAACTGAGCTGTCGGCCTCTTGTCTTTCTTCACTTTCATCTTTTGCAGCTTTTGAGTTTTCCTGTTGAGTGCATTGGTGTTGCAGCTTCTAGCTGCCTTCCTCTCAGTTAAGAATCTTTGTTTGCCCTCAGCTTCAGGGTTGGTAAATAATTTCAGAGAAATTGTAGAGTGCTTTAGAGACCACTTAAGGAAATTGCCAGAGGCCTGTGGAATATTCCCTTGACGTTCACATTCAAGGTTTTCTTGTGTAAATAATTGTTCTATAATGTAAAGAAAATATACCTTTTGATTCTAGGGTACACAGTGTGCTGAACAAATCAAAGAGCTGATTCTAAGTCGGTGTGAGAAGAGCTGTGAACAGCATGTAGTTGAACAACTGAATAAGCTCCTAAATGACAGTACTAAGCCTGTGGGTCTTCTACTAAGTGAAAGATTCATTAATGTACCACCACAGATTGCTCTGCCCATGCACCAGCAGCTTCAGTAAGTTTGTTTTGGGTTTGTTTTTTTGACATGATGTTGAATACTACTTTTTCTTCATATTTTTTTCAGAAATCTTGTATATATAGTACTGTGTTAAGACAGGGGATACTATAGATATGAGTAAGATATGAACAGAAAATAAATATTTTCATCTCATATAAGGTCATAAAAGTTAATTTTTAAATATTTTTTTTTATCTTCAGGCTTCTCAAACTTTAAGATAGAGGAAATAATTTAAGAATATGTGCTGTTCTACTGCAGAAATAGCTGTGTGTATATTATAGTTTGCATTGCAGATTATTTTCATATTGATCTAGGAAAATTTAGAAATGAGAACTTTTTTATAGAATGATGATAATGAGCAACTTGGATGTTTCTGCTCAGGTGTTAATGTCTGGCTCTGGAATGCAAGAATAGAACTGAGAAACAGTCTTGTAAGGTGGATGAGTTCTGGCTCATGAAAACCGTGTTTTCATTAATTTCAAGTAAATGAGGGAAGCTAGTTAGGTGCTGGTTGATCTCTGCCAGTTCGTAGATTTGTATCATAGGCTGGGTGATAGTAAGTAGATGAGTCCACTGAGATACATGTTATATTGTTTCAGTGCCATGTTGAGAACCAGGAAATGATGTTGGATAAGGATGTGAGGATGTGTATGTGTAAACATTTATTTATCTTTAGGAAAGAGTTGATGGAGGCACAAAGAACGAACAAACCTTGTGGAAAGTGCCACTACTACCTTCTTATCAGCAAGACCTTTACAGAAGCCACAAAGAGCAATTCTAAGAAGAGGGAAGGGAGAAATCAGCAAAAGGAGGAATTAATGTTTGCAAATGCAGAGGAAGAATTCTTTTACGAGGTAACGTGATTCTTTTAATTTAAAATATTTGTTTTTCTTTACATATCATAAAAAAATGTGCTTCACCTTAAATTCAAGGGGAGCTTTTAAAAAGATATGGTCACATATATTTTAAATCATCTTTTTTTAGAATAGTATCGAGAGATAACCAAGCAAGTTATTTTTGGGTATTGAACACAACACCTTTTGTATTTAGAGAATCATGGTGAGGTGTGCCATCTTTAAGTTCAAATTATTAAGTTAATCGTCTGTATTGGCATGAATTTACTAAAATGTTATTTGTGTCAAGTCACAATCAACCTGGCTAGAAGACGGTATGGTATGGACTGCCTGTGGCAGCGTTACTACCCGATAGCATCTCCAGTGCAATGACGATAATGGAAAAATTCAAAGAATATCTGAAATAAGCAGAGACATTAGGGGAAAGATAAGGTGTCACTTTATCTTGAGGCCAGTGTCTTAGCTTCAAAGAATTAACAAACTTCATCTCTTTAGTCATATAGCAATGCTGAAGAGATTGAATTGAATGTAATAATTGTCAGACAATTGTCAGTTGCGAAGCTCTGCGTTCATGTCATCATTGTTGGTATTATGTGGAAAGTTGATTTATCTGTTTCTGTTTGGATACCTGTTACTTTAAAAAAAAATGCTCAGAGTAGAAAACTTTTGAAGATCCAAACAAGTAGCTGTCACTTCCCTTTTCTGTCTCTATTCTATTCAAGACAAGTATATTAATAAAAAGTGCTAAAGTACTGAGATGAAATATAGGATATTACTTCCTATTTCCTAAGGCAACCTGTCTACACGACTCTGCTGGTCCCAAGCCAGATCACGAGGGGGGAAGATGCAGGAAATTAAATTCAAAATGTACTTCAAAATGCAAAGAATTTTTCATTGTTTTTTATTTTTTTTCAAAGCTTTAAAAATATTATTCTACAACATTACTGCTTTGTCAAAAGCCCATTATTTTTCATTTCTGGCAGTGCCTACAGGATAAAGTACTTGCACGTGCATCATATGGTTAATGGCAAAGGTTGCAGTTTGTAATCTTTCATGACATTCTCTGTTAGAGGCTATAGTATGGCTGTGATTTTATTTCTTGGGAAGAAGAAAAATGTAAGTGGGTGAATTCATTGTTGCTAGAGGGAATACTGTTGTAGCCTCTACACAGTAACAAGTTTGGGATTTTCTTTTTGTGTTTCTGCCGCAGCAGCTTTGCCAACTGAACTTGAACTCTGTAAACATGTTATTGAAAAACTGAAGGGGAGAGATCTGTCATGCCCATGTGTCCACGGGTGTGATGTTGTAGAAGGCCTGTTTTGTTTTTATCTCTGTTTTGTTATTTTGAGTGGCATTTTAAAGAGTTATTGTGTGCTTTTCTCTGAATTGCAGAAATTTTCAACTCAAGTGGATAGACTCAAACTGAACATGCTTTGCTTTTTAACAGTCTTTCTACTCTTTTAACAAATTTATTTTAAACATTATGGAGGATATTAGATTCAGTGGGTCTCTGTACTTAGTAATGTATATGTGTTAAATTAGTGTTGGAGTGTATATCCTCCCTGATCACACATAACTTTAATTAGATTGCCATAAAACAGTATTAATTGCGGTGAGGCAGACACTTGGAGCCGTATAAAACAGAGAAGCTTTTTTGCAGTTGTCAGTTCCTTGTGCTTTATTCTGTTCCTTCAAATGTTATTGAGGGAACAGAAGAAAAAGCTCTGTTATAACCAGACTTGGAACTGATGAAAGAATTAGGGCTTCCATTGCTCAAATTGTTCGTTCTTGAGCAAAACCACTCAGTTAATTTGATAGTTCTTCCAAAATTAAATTTACAACCTTGAGACACTGTTAGTAAATAGCAATCCTGAAAGGAGACTGGAACTCAACTTTCAGTGCAAAGGGAAGAGGTTAGGTAAGTTTTTCTACTTAGGAGTTCAGTTTATACTTCTTTATCTGACTTGTGTGAGAATGAGAAACATTTGTTAGGTAAGTTTTTCTTATCCATCAGGCATTTTGTCTGGGAAAGCTAATAAAAAGACTGTTCTATCTGTATGCAGTATATATCACTGAAACGAAATAATACACGTTATGGACACCCACCTATTTGAAGAAGCATCCTTTATAAATATGCCTTTCAATGGCTTTAGCTGTCTAGAGACTTTGCAAGAGCTTTTTGAAATTCTGCTCAGGATAGCTTCTAAGGGTCGGCATTTCATAATGTGATAGTATGGAATGAGATGCTGCCTTAGAACCGTCCAAAGTGAGGCACAGTAAGCATAGAAAGGGGGAATTGATTTTATTTTTTTTCTCCCCTCTTAGGTCATTTTTCTGATACCAAACTATAATGATAGAAATAATTTTAGAATTTAATATTAATTATATAAATTCTGTGAGAAGCGAATAGTTCAAAATGCTTAATAGTAGATTGTCTTGTAGGGTTTTTTGGTGGACCTTTTGAGAGGGAAGAGAATAACTTCTTAATAAGCATGTGCATAATAGAGTCGTTATTTTTACTTTGTTTAGATGATGTCTTATCTTCATGCTAATTAAAATTTTTAATTCTAATGCGTTTATTTCTGTTGTTTAGAAAGCCCTTCTGAAGTTCAACTACTCTGTCCAAGAGGAAAGTGACACCTGTTTGGGCGGCAGATGGTCCTTTGACGATGTACCAATGAAACCTTTGCGGACTGTTATGATAGTTCCAGCTGATGGAATTAATGTAATTATGGATAAACTCAAAGACTATCTCTCACTCTGAACTTCCCTATGAACACTTTTTTATAAAGCAGCCATGCAGAGCTATGACTTCACAATATTTTTAAAAGATTGCTGTTGAGTTAATGGTTTTGTACTGCTCACATGCTTCCTGTGTACACTTAGAAAACAAGTAGGTACAACTGAAAATATCCATCAAATTAATATTTTAAAATATTGTGTCTTATTATACTTTGGTATCATCATTAAGCAGTCAATAAAAACTCAGTCTTACAAGAAAACTTAAAGATCTGCTCAGTATGTTTTTAACGAAAACTAAATCCTATATTTTTGTCAGTAAATAACGCATGCAACTCCTTTTGTTAAGAAAAGTGCTTTTTCTCCGTGCTTCTTCTGTTAAATCCATGTCAAAAGTTCAAAATAATTACATGGGTTAAGATGGGGATGTGTGTCGCGTATACTGCTTTTATTTAAATTGCCCAACGTATGATAGTTCAGTCTGAAATCACTGAATAATACATCTTTGTTCAGTGGGAGTTTGGGGAAATTTTTCATTTTCTTTGTTGTCATTGTTAGTTTTCTGTTCCTCCTTCATGGCTGAAACGGGTGACAAGTGATTGATCACTTCCTGCAGAATATCTTTACTTTCACTAGGAGGAAGATTGCTAAAATAATACTGAGGTACCAGCTCCACGAATCTGGTGAGGAAATAAGAAAAAAATATTATTTTTTTTAATTGAATTTTGAAATGTTTGAGTAACTATTTCCAGGCTTGTACAAAAGACACCAGCAACATGCTGATTCATACAGCTGCGAAGTTGGTATTTCAACTCAAAACCAAAACTCCCTATTTTTGGTTCAATAAAAGCATGATAAAGGCTTCCTTATAAACATTGAAAATAGAAGAGATAAGGACAGTGAAATGTATGTATATTCTCAGTGTAAAGAGATTTTAACAGAAGGAAGATTGTAGTCTTTTCTTGAATCCATAAACCATTGATACGGGGTGATTGAGCTGGCTGGGTTCATAAGACATGTCAAGACAAAAGATTCGCTGGAAAATAGCTTTTCAGGTAACAAAGAAATTTCCAGCTAGATTAATCTACCAATACACTGTTGGGTTAACTCTTCCTTGAATTTTTTCCTGTATATTTTACCTTGTAAGAAACTTTTTGCTACTTTTAAGATGTGTTTTCAACAGATGAATTGATTACGGTTACAGTGGCAGCCATTAACACGTTAGGAAGTACAAAAGGCTGACTTAAATTATGTTTTGTTTTGCATGAAAATAGAAAGGGCAGAAGATCACAGTTCTTCCCTTTTTTAATGGTTCTGAGGTCTAATTCAGTGAGTGTTCTGAACGAAAATGAAGACATCAAGCAAAGCTACACACAGTGACAGAACAATAGTGGCAACAATGAAATAAAATCTATTCCACATATATTCACCAGTGAATATAAAAAGCGTGTAAAACAACAATTTCTTCACCTTTCCAGTGATGCCGCCTCCTCTTGCTTGACTAGGTATGAAGATTGACCTTTCCTCTTATGTCTATTTTACCGTGGTTTTTTTTTTTCTTTTAAACCAACAACCCTACCTAGAGTGAATCAGTTATGCTTGGAATGTTTCTCAACAGAACCAGAAAGATAGCTGTCCTTATGACAGAGATAAAGGACATGGAGAAGGTGACTGGAGTTGGCTTCTCCAGGTGTTGCCCTCAATGTACACACACATCCTCACCCTGTCTGTGACTTTATGTTATGCTTTTGTGGTACAGGTATGAGTGAAGAAACAGTTTCATCTTTTTAACTTACAGATTGGGTGATATCTCGGAGACGACTCTGATGGAATTGTCTTCCAGTATACTAAACTCATGGAATAGAACCCACTCAGGAATCCTTCTGGTGTTATAATATGATGAGAAAGGATGAAGCTGGGCCACTTGTCTGTGTGTTAACATTAGATAGTTACCTGAGCCATCTACATCACGAGCAATCTATAAAAAAATACAGAGAGTTATCGATTACTTAATTGAATGTACAAGATGCACAGATCAGTGCCTATTATTTTTAAACTATTAATTAAACTTGTATTCAGATTCTTTCTGAGCCTAAACCTCTTCCAAAATTTCAGTGGGAAAGCTAGGGACTGGATACTGTGAAATGAGGCTTAGTTTTAAAGAACATGTTGGTCTGTATATTTGAAAGGAAACTGGAACAAATGAGGGCAGGCTTATACCGTATCTGAACTTGGCTTTAGAGGGTCTGTGTGAAAATAGATGTATTCTGAAAGAATTAGAAGACTAAAATGCAGCGTGTAGTAGGGCACTTGAAGTAGTGGAGTGGAGGAGTCATTCTTCTATTTAGGTGGAGCATAGTGATGCAAAGGAAAGCATGCTTTGAAGTGGGAATGAATTAATCTTTCTGGTTTATATTTACATCTACAGTTAGAGTACCTCATTTGGCTGAGATGAGGAAAGCTGTATGTTATATGTACTTAAACATATTCAGCAAGTCAGTTCTATATTTCCAGAGTATTTTCACAAAAGCCATCTTCAAAAAAGGAAATAATGTCTGGGAGAATATTGTAAGTTGAAGAGGTTTTTGAGGTAAAAGAGTTCTTTGAGTGAAAGGCATATTGACAGTTTTTCTCTTGCAGTGAAGTGTGTGGACTTCATACTGTGATAGCTGAACCCCAGAAAGAAGATTGGAATTGGCAGAAGTCTTTGATACACTGTGGAAAAAATAGCTTTTATCCTTTCTGGTGATTAAGAGATTTCGCTACCTAACTTAAGTTCTCGGAAATCATTCTATATAAGTTAACAATGCAGTGTAGATGAAACCACAATATTTTTCCTTACGTGCATAAAGTAACCAGATAAGAGAGATTTCTTAATGCTGAGTATATTTTCTTTTGAGCCAAAGTCTGGTTCTGAAATGGGAAGTTCAATACGCTTCATAATCTCTACTAGTTCGGCTCTGATAATTTCTGCCATCCTCAATGCAGAACAGCTTAGAAAATAATCGCGACACCATTTCTCATTGCTGTAGTCTGTGGAGGAAAAAACAGTATTTTAGCTTAAAGCAAAGTCTTAGTGATAGGTACTATCCACAGAGATACTGCCCAGTAAAATGCTTTTTGACTGGTGCAATAGATTAAAAACATTTTGGAGCGAGTAGCTTGTTAGAGCTGTTCAAAATTACGATGACAAGAGCCACATGGACAGCTTAGGTTCATTGATGTTCCTGATAAAACGAGTGGGCAATACTTGATATCCTTACTTAGTTTTATAGAATTTAACTATATCTTTCTGAATTAAAATATTCAAAATCCCTTACTTTGTATGTGAAAAGTTCAAATAGAATGAAGATTTCAAATAGAATGAGTAGCAACTCTGTTTTCAGGTTTTCTGGATTCAGGCTAGAATACGGAACTGAAATCACATCTGTAGTGCTGCTGATGGTCCTGCATGCTGGGGAGGGAGAGGTTCTCTTGGATGTCTCTCCAGCATTCAGTGTGACTAAACCTGAAACAATCCTACTGTCCTGTCCTAAGTTTTTACTTCGTATATGTAAATTTATCACTCCACTGTCTAGGTACTGGACTCAGGCTAAATGAACCTGAGCAAGATGTCTGAGCACAGGAAAATGCTGTGAAGAGCTCCTGTCTGCTGGGCAGTCCTCTGGCTTTTCTGTGGTTTCCTGTCCATGGGAACTTGACTACTTTCATTTTTTCCCCTTTAACCTTCCTTTTAATTGACAGCTATTGGGGGAATACCTCCTCAACTGTTTATGTCGTTCACATCTTAAACCTAGATTTTGTGCTCTTACAGAAGGAACCATCATTCTGGTTTTGTACGATGTCACTTCAAATGATAATTGTAATAACGCTTATGTGTCCTTGTTGAATGAGGTACGCTGTCCTAGGTTATTTTCAGTTAGTTAATAAATGTTCATTTGCAATGGCTACTCTGTTAGGTTTCTCCCTGCAAATTAGAAATTCTAGAAGGAACCATTCAAAAAAGGTTAATGAACTAAATGCTAACAATGACTGTTCAGATTTTTGTTTTGGTTTGGTTTTTTTCCCAAATTGTTTACAGTGTGCTTCATTTTGCCTGGTATGGGCACACTTACATTGGCTTGTGGAGTTTGCACTGGCTTCCTTGAAGGCGTTGAAGACATTGATAAGAGTAAAGTGATCTCCTGCAGGGTGTGAGAATTTTCGCCAGCAGGTAAGAGCAATCTCTTCTGTTCCAGGAGGTGCGTGTAAGAAGCAATTAGGAGCTTAGAAAAAAAAAGCAAGCCAGTGGTTATTAAGACATGTAGGTGCATGCACAAATAGTAACTCCGCTGGTATTTTTTGGTTTTTCCTTTCTCAGTTCCCTTTAATGTTCAATGTTGGGTTGCTGCCATAGAACTGAATCTGTTGCATTCACTAAGGTTTTATTTATGTGGATATTCTTTCGATACCTTGTTTAGTTAATTAGTGCTGTAAACTCCAAAGAAGGTGAGGAGCTTTCTCCTAGACTGATGCCAAAAGTGTTTTGTAATGACACGATCCAATTTATCCAGAATCCAAGCAAATGGTTTATTTAATATAGAAAGAAACCAAATCTGTGGCTGTAATGCCTTAATTTGCTCCTATAGGTTGAAATTTGTGCCTTCCAGTGCATTTTACTTCTGTTGTGTAATGGTGTCTTTCGAGATGGGTGAGCTTTTTAAAAACTCAAGTGTGCCTATGCTCAATCATTTACATTTGTTGTATGTACTTAAAAAATTTTATCACAAGTTTAGGCTCACTATTAAAAATCAAGCCAGCTCAGGCATAAACCCAAGTTGTTCTATAAGGAGAACAACTAATGCAGCTTGGTGTCCTGTGGGTTCGTGTCCTTGCTGCCTAAGGCTCCTCACCAGTTTCTGGGCTTAGGATATTCCCTCTGGGCAGAGGACAATAACACCATGGCAAAGCATTCTTTAAGGCGAGGTTAAACTGTGGCTGTTGAGCAGTAGATAGCTCTCAAGCATTGGTTCTATGCCACGGTTGTGCCATAAAATCAGTAGCATGGTGCCGTAGAGAGAAGTGAGACAGCTAAATGTTGCTGGAGGCAACATCGCTATGTAACACTGAGACCCGAAAGAATGGAAGTGTAGCCCTGTCCTGCAATATCTGGTCGGAATCCTGAGAAGTCATCATCATTATTTGCTGTTTGAACTTCTGGAGTCACCCTCCTCTCAGTTATGCTAAAACCTTTGATTTTGTGCGTCTTTGATGTATTAAGATT